AGTCTCTGCCAGTTCAGACCCCATCAATGTGTATTTATATTTAGGATTTTTGGCTCCAATGTGCATCACCTTGCACTTGGCCACATTGAACCCCATTTGCCATGTTGACGCCCACTCGCCCATCCTTGACAGATCCCCTTGGAGTGCCTCACAATCCTCACTGGTTTTCACCACCCTGAACAACTTTGTATCATCCGCAAATTTAGCCACTTCACTGCTTACTCCCATCTCCAAATCATTAATGAACAAGTTAAAAAGCAGTGGACCAAGTACTGATCCCTGCAGTACCCCACTGCTTACCACCCTCCACTGAGAAAATTGCCCATTTATATTCACTCTCTGTTTTCTATGGATTAGCCAGTTTTTGATCCATAAAAGGACTTGTCCTTCTATCCCATGATTTTTGAGCTTACTTTGGAGCCTTTGATGAGGAACTTTATCAAAAGCTTTCTGGAAGTCAAGGTAAATAATATCTATTGGATCCCCCTTGTCCACATGTTTGTTCACCCCCTCAAAGAACACTAACAGGTTAGTGAGACAAGATCTTCCCTTACAGAAACCGTGCTGAGTCTGCCTCAATAGGTTTTGTTCATCTATGTGCCTACTAATTCTTTCCTTAATAATGGTTTCCACCAATTTACCCGGTATCGACGTCAGACTGACTGGCCTGTAATTTCCCGGATCTCCTCTGGAACCCTTTTTAAAGATGGGAGTGACATTAGCTACCTTCCAATCCTCAGGAATGGAGGCAGATTTTAAGGAAAGATTACATATCTTTGTCAGGAGATCTACAAGTTCACATTTGAGTTCTTTCAGAACTCTCGGATGCCTTGGGGGCCTTGGCTGAGTGAGCACACGCATTTTATACCCTCCTGATTGTGAACTTCTCTCCCTGCTGGGGTTTGGGTGTTACTCTGTCTCTCTACTCACACCAAGTGCCTCAGCTGAGGGTGCACAGTTTATACCCTCCTGATTGTGAACTTCTCTCCCCTGCTGGGGTTTGGGTGCTAGGTGGACTCTGGGCTCATGGCCATGCAAGAGAGGTCAAACCAGATGACAGCCTTGTGTGACCAGTATTCCAGGGGATTGGCATCGGTGGTCTCAGGGGACTTGGTGAGGTACTCCCTCACCATCACCTCTGCCAAATCCTCCACCATTGCACACCTTGCATCCTCACCACTCCTGACCTCTCAGTTCTCCATTGACAACCAGTAGTGAGGCTTCTCCTCTCTTTTTTCTTTTTTTTTGGTTTTTAAAATGTTTATTAAGATCAAGTATAACTTATAACATATACAATAACTGCAAAACAGTAAGCAAAGTCCTGAGAATCCAAAATTACAAACCAGCCAGTTAATGACCGACTACTTTCAACATACATCAACAGTTATAACATAATAACATAATAATTTCGTATCAGATCCGTTCCCATAAATAAAAATGACTTTTGAACTATAAATCCCAATGAATGGAGCCATGTCTAAAATACAAGAAGTTTGGGAGTCTGCTACTCTGAACAACAAGGGGAGTCTCAACAGTAAGGCGGAGGTCAGAGTGAAATCAGAAGTCAAGCCATGTGTGATAGCTCGTCCTAGAGGGCAGCACGTTATGTTCTGTCACGAAGTCAAGTACTGGATACCAAGTACATACAAATTTATCATAAGTTTTACTGGAGCTGTTTTGTAATCGGTCTACAATATTAGAGATTTTATTCAGCTGGGCTCCTCCTCCTCCTCTCCAGCCTCTTCCACCCACTATTCCCCCTGCCCATGTCTGTTGGCCTGTAGCCTCTGCAGTCTTTGCAGAGCTCATGCTTCCACTGCAAAAGCTCTGCATTCAGGACAGCAATGCTGCATTTTACCTAGGGGTCACAGTCTACACAGGACAGCTTCTACCCCCCTTTATTGAAGAGAAGATGCAACCTGGTGGTGATGCCCAACTGCAACCTCTCAGCCAAGGCCCTGACCTGTGAGAGAACAGCCGGCTCAGGGCAGAGGCCAGTGCTCAGTCCAGCCCTTGAGACAGGGGGATGTCTTGCCCCAGGCTGGCCATATGGGCACACAGCCCATATGTCCTGGGGGGCTTCAGGACATGCACCATTTGGGAGATGATCAGCCAATCGCTGGAGCTGATGCTGACTGAGGTCCTCTTCCCCATGCAGGATGATCACAGAGGAGATGACATCCTGTGCAGTGCTCTTCTGCTCCACCAAACACACACTAATTGTGTAGGTGGTGTTCCTCATCCCCCTCTCCCTGCCTCTCATGCAGCAGACAGACAGACTTGATGCTGCACCAAAAGTGGGAGGCCAGGTGCGGTGCTGGCAGGTCTCGAGCAAGGACCGCATCTCAAGGAGGTCTTGACAGGTGGCCTTGACAGTGCCCCCCAGCCCCAGAACTTCCTTTACCACCAACTGAAGCATATGTGCCATACAGACGATGCCCTTGAGGTGTGCATGCTTCACCTCTGTCAGCATGTTGGCACTGGCATCTATGACCATGTAGCCATGGATGATGTTTCCACTGCCCACCTACTCCCTCAGGCTTCTCTGTATCGCAAGGTGGTAATGTTTTGTACCGTGTGGTCTGCATCCATCCCCTGCACATGGAGCAGAACCATTTTGTAGCCCGGTGGCAGGACTGTCCCCTCCTGGGGCCTGGGCCATGCCCCAACAATCCTGCTGGCTGTTCCAGAGGTCTACCGTGGAGTGCATGGTTCTGCCTTGTGCCCTGGAGAGCTAATCCTTGACCATTGCCACTGCAGCCGGCAAAAGGCAACATCCTTCACAATGGAGAAGGGTTGACCATCCACAGCAATTATCTCATCAACGAGATGAGTGACTGCTTCCTGAACCCTACAGATAGCCCTTTTGACCTTTTGGAGAGTGGCCCATCTTGATGTCCCACCCATGGCAGCCTGAGTGCAGGGAGCCTTCCTTGGAGGGGCCTCCTGCTCCCCCTCTGCTTCTCCCTGCTGAGGGAGTGGGCCTCTTCTTCCTCCCACTGGCCACCACTCTTTCCTCCAGTGGGAACATACTGGGGTGAACATTTTGCAGGTGCCTGTGGAAGACAGAGGAGGACACGTGTTGGGGTTGGGTTTGCACCCCTCCAGACATGGGTGTGGCACACCCGGCACTCTGCAGCACAGGGATCACTGGGGAGGATGAGGAAATGTTTCCAACTGAGGCCCTAGGATTGGATGAGGCGGAGAGCCCTAGGAACAGATCAGTGGAAGGAGGCTCCAAGACCCCTGGTGAAGCCCTGCTAGGGTTGAGCTCCAGTGGCCTGGCAGGATTGGTTTGGTGCCCAGGGATGGGGGCCTGTGGTATGCAGGGGGTGGAGGCCTTCTTCCCCACACAATGAGCACCCTTTTCACCCACTTGCACCCTCTTTCACTTTCCTAACATCCAATATGGAAGCAATCCTAGAGGCACAACTATTACTTAGGAATATTCTTGAAATAGTCCCCATGCATTATTTCAGTGTATGACCATACATCAACACTTCACTCCATAAACGCTTGGGTGCACAAGAAACTGTAAATAGTCTTTCTTTATTTTGCAAGACATTTTGCATCACTAATCATTTAAAATGAAAAACTCTGATTTCCACTGGTCTGGTGGGGCTGGGGTGTCCACCAAATTGTTGTGGGGTAACTTTGGGGAGCCCCTGTTGGAAGTCCAAATCTGCCTTTGAAGAATTGTGGGTGACCTAGCCAGCCTGACAGGTGTTCCTTTTCCTCTGCAGAGTTGCAGAGCAGAAGAATTCACCAGAAGTTGTTTCAGCCATTGGAGGGGGACTGTGAGAGTTGTGGGCACACTTCCATTGCTTGTCTGGTGGGGCTGGAGTGCCCATCACGCTGTCGTGGGATTACTTCGGCGACCCCCTGTCGGAAGTCTTGTCATGTCTGCCTTTCTGTTCTTCCAAATCTGCCTTTGGAGAATTGTGGGTGGCTCAGCCAGCCTGACAGGTGTTTCTTTTCCTCTGCAGAGTTGCAGAGTAGAAGAATTTGCCACTGGTTGTGTCAGCCCTTGGGGGGGGGGCTGTGAGAGTTGTGGGCACTGAGCATATTTCCCTTGCTTGTCTGGTGGGACTGGGGTCCCTGCCAAGCTGTTGTCAGGTAACTTTGGGGAGTCCCTGTTGGATTTTTCTGAAAAAAATTGAAAACCTGCCCTCCAGATTTGGTGAGGATTGGATTTACAGGATCTGTGTTACGGCCCCTGTGTTACAGGATCCGTGTTACAGCCCCCGTGTTACAGGATAAGTGTTACGACCCCCCAAAGAAGGTGCCCCCAGGAAAGTGCTCTCTGGGGAAATGACAGGGGGTTCAGAATTTCCACTGGTCTGATGCTCAGGTTTAACCTGTAACCTAGGGCTTGGCTGTTCTTTGTCAGTTATAAGTGCCCACATGGGGGTCCCCATCTGCCATAAAGGTAAAATGTGCTGTTGATCCGCAACCAACTCATGGTGACCCCATGAAGTTCCACATCATGGGGTTTTCAAGGCAGGAGACGAGCAGAAGAGGTTTGCCATTGCCTTCCTCTGCACAGCAGCCCAAGTTTTCCTTGGTTGTCTCCCATCCAAATATCAACCCTGCTTAGCTTTCAAGCTGTGACAAGATCAGGCTAGTTTGGATTATTAGGGCTAACTCTGTCATACTTAGAAATGGCAGTTATTTGAACCCCAGGAAGAAAAGGCTTGTTTTTCTTTTGTTTCTTAAAGTATCCAGCGTCTACTGATCATACAGTCAACCTTTTACTGCACACAAAATATTCACACTAGTGTAGCCCTTCTATTCATCAACTGCCTTCAGGCCTAGGTGAGTGAATAGGCAGACCACCACCCAGCCTGTTCTGACATACAAGTGGGTGAAAGTGGTCATATTTTTTGTGGGCTGCTGAAATTTTAGAACCTATCCACAGGGCCAAACTAGTGCAAAGGGTTTGAGTACAGTGACAACCTTTTTGTATTGGATCAAGGGGCAAAAATGGTTAGTCAACCTACATATTCCAGGAAGCAGGACCCAATTTCACTCAGGTGCGGGTAATCTTTGTTGAATTTTTTCTCCAATGCTTTAACAAATTTTTTCTGGCACTTGTAGATCTCCTCAATATTCCCAAAGATGGTTTTCAGCTGCTCCTCGGTGAACATATCTGCTCTTTTACGGCACTGCTTTATATAGCCCTGGAGAAAAGTCAGATTTTATGGGCAAATTACTTGGGCAGCAAAATCAAAAAGGAACCACAGTCTTGACAGATATGGCTAAACCACTCAGTAGAGCATAGTCCAAGTGTACTTACAGACACAAAATGAAATCAATGGTTACTGTGGAAGCAAAATACAATCCAAGAGTTCCCCAGTTCTACTTTCAATAAGCACACTGACTGTGTGGAAGCTAATATTTCTGCTGACAAAAAAGTAAAAAACCAGGCATAGCAACAGTAGTTAAGTTAATGGTAATTAAAAGTCCAGCTGTTTTTGCAGATCTGAAGGCCACATTGAAAAGCAACACTCAAGAACTGTAAGGATCTCAGCAAGATGTAAAAGGCATTAAATACCCATTTGTACCTTACTCTGATTTGATAGCTGACAAAATCTAATGAATGGAAACTTCTCGGGATCTGACCTTGTTTCTATTCTGTTATTGAAGACAATTTGTTTTAATTATTTGAGGGGGAAATAAGCCAACAGTAGGACAGATGTATAGCATTTAGGCAGTGGCAAGAGACCCACAGAATGTCATTGTTTTAACCAAAATCCTTTGCACTGCAGAAGCAGACAAACAGTGCAATCCTAAACAGATTTGCAAGTCAAAGGACTTAGAAAGTGTAACTCTGCTTAGGAAGGCATGTAATTATGCTATAGTCAGCTTAACTAGTTTCGATGATGATCCTGAAATCTTTCAAGAATTCCAGTCTTTTACTGTTGTTCTAAAATGTGGTGTATGCTGTCCTTTGCCCAAGATGCTATGGCTGATTTGTGCAACACATTTTTATCCTCATGCCTTTATTACCTCACAGATGTCCTTCAGGTGTTTGATGTAATCTCTCTCTGTGCTTAGGATCTCATTGATAACATTGGTCCTCATCTGATCCTTGGTTGTTTGCCCCACCCCATAACGGTGGGCAGCATTTCGGGAGTCTTCTTCCCTGCCATCGTCTAACTTCAGAGGGTAGTCTTCCATTGGTTCATCCTGGTTCACTCGAAGCTGCACCAAACACAGGAACATTCCCATGATATAATTACTTCAGGGTTCTCTGCTTTTTAAACTCCTAAGTATTGCTTTTGTCCATATAAAATAAAAGGTAAGTAGCATAATTTCTTCCCCTTTCCCATTCACAACTGCTCCTGCCACTGTTGAAATCCCACTTGCTACAAATCCAGAGTTCTTAAAAAATACTGTTTACAGTTCTGTTTGGAATATGGTTGTCATTCAGGGAGATGGTCATCAGAATTAAGTGCATTTATGTATTTAGAAAACTTATAACCCTTTATCCACATACCTATTCAGGGCAGCTCACAAAGTAAACCAGTGCCAGTGCCATAAAATCATAACAGCAGCATAAAAATGATCAATAACAGTCATAAAAACAAGCCAAAGTACAAAGTATAAGACAGCCTAAAGGGGATATTAATAAAGCAGCCCTCCAGTGAAAAGTAAACCATAAAAGCTGTTTTAAAATACTGAATCCCATAGTGAAAAAACCTGGGTAAAAATAAATGTTTTGACCTGGTGCCTAAAAGAAAGGCAGGTAGGCATCAGGTGTGCTTCAATGGGGAGAATAACACAACTTTTTTGGAGATAAGGGGTTCAGGGATCATCAACAGATAGTTGATTTTTGAGTGGGACTTCCTGTTCCAGTACGGCACGTGACGGGTGGATCCTTGGGCTGCTCTGAGATCCCCGACCCCTTTTCGCTTCTTTTGGAGCCCCCCGGATGGGGGGAGCTTTGTCGGACTTCCCGTAGAGAGGTTCGATAGCAGGGGGCTTTGTCCCGGACCCTCCTGCACTTGACAAATGTGGTGGAGTGTCCGTTACCGCCCTGACGCGGGAGCATCTTGTGGGAGATCATGGACGCCATGATCTACTAGCAGCGACCATCCAGCATGTTGTTGAGTGTTTGAAAACCAGCCAGCACTCATGGAAGAAGGGACTCAAGAAATAGCTATGGATATAAGTCCTTGCTTAAAAGAAATAACAAGCCCTACCCCAAAAAGAAACAGCAATAAAAGGAACTCCATCAGAGGTATTGTTGGCAAAAAAGAATAAGAAGGGGAAAAGGAAAAGAGGAGGAAAAGTCTGTATGAAGAAAACTAAGGAGAATAAAGGGATGATGACTAGGCTTTTGATTTATGGAAGGAGCGACGACGGAAAGACATTTCAGGAATTTTAAAATGTGAGGCATATGGAGGAGATCCAAAGGAAGAAGGAAACTACAGAAAGAGGGGAAAGAAGGAAGAGACGAAAAAATTGTTTAAGATTAATATGTTTGTATTTTTCTGTTTGACTATAAATGGCTTTTGTTAAAAAATGGAGTTAGCAGTAACTGGGGGGAAAATGGCGAGTTGCTAAGTTATAAACTGCTGATGGTATAATTAGGGGTAGTTAGTAAATTAGTAGTTTCTTGGAAATTTTATTATTTTTGTGTGATGTTATTTATTTTGTCCTTTTTGGTATAGGAAGTTCTGCAGCATGGATATGAATGATGTTGTAAATGAGAATGAGCTGTCAATGCAGAACCTCCAAAAGTTTGCTTTTTAACACACAAATTGACATTTTCCTGCATAACTGAACAGCCCTTTAAGTATGTAGAAATCTTTGCCTTATAAAAGGGTAGTCTTATTTTACTTTAAAAAATACTTTATTTTCCTTAGTATGAATGAGAGGAGGTCATAAGGTACTGTTTAGGCTTTTTTGGAGGTGAACTGCAGCATGTACACTTATGTGATTTATATAATAGGTGTTTAACATTTTGAGAAGGACAAAAATAGTTAAATAGACTCATCAAGGGAGCTGATTATGTTTACCATCAATGTAATAACTAATAATATCTATATTGTAAAAAGAGTAGTTACGTATACAGAAAAGATAGATATGAATTTTTGGTGTTCTGCTTTTGATCTTAAAGGGATAGAATGAATTTAAATCTACTGTTTGTGTAGCAGTTCAAATGGAGATTAAGATACCAAATGATTTAACAGGTATTATGGCTTTATTATTAGTATGAAGATTGTTTAGTACCAAATGGTAATTATACTAGAAGAGTTAGAACGACTATAAAATTGTTAGCCAGTATAACTTGTAAGGCCTTGTAATACGGGATATAAGATTGGATAAGGACAATATAATATTATGGTGAAGTTATAACTAACCTATTAATGCAGATTTGATTATAGTGAATGTATACTGAATTTATTAATCCTGATATGATTATTGCGAAGTGCTTAAACATATATATTTACTGTCTTCTTATGTGTTCGTTTGTCTTAAAACTAATAAATAATTTAAAAAAAAACACAGATAGTTGATTTTCCTCAGCCCCATTTTTTTAAATACTGAACAAATTGGTAATTATTTAATGGTAGGAAAATGGATGAAATAACTGAGACAGGAGGAAAGCTCTTGTCGGCTATTACGTTCTGAAAATTCTAATGGTATGGACCAAGTGTTGCGCTCAGAGAATCCCTGCAATGGATAAGAACTTTGTTATATACTCAGTAGACCTTGTATTAGCTGAGGAAGGCAAAAAGAGCTTGTCATAGAGACAAATGGCTTTGTGACTAGCCTTGAAGCGCTTGCCTGCAACATAGGTGGACTGGGAGGGGTTTTCTTCTTACGCTTCAAAATTGGTGCTCAGATAATTCTACCCTTCTGACCATCATGATGACAGAATAATCTACAGGATGTTTCTATTTCCTCTCAATGTCAGAAACATTTCAAGAAGGTATTTTAAAAGAAACTGAGTTCAGAATCCATTTGTAGCCCTTAAACAGAATCTCTCAAATCTTTCAAACTGCCCACAAGATGACAGTAGTGTAACAAGAATAGACACCAAAGTAGCTAGTGTTTTTAAGGGGCTCAGTTTTATCAAGTGCTTTAAATCCATTCCTGAAGGGGGATTTTCTCCCATTGAAACTTTCAGTACAACTCCTTCACATTTGATAGCTGGACTTCTACCAAAAGAAGAGAATTAATGTTCCTGAAATTCAGTTTGTATACATTTAGAGATGTCCAAAAGGACAATTGCTCAAACATTCTGCTTCAGCCATTTCTTTGGCCACATACATAATGTAAGTATATACATTTTATTTGTATTATAGCAGTTGTGAAACTTTAAAGCTAGATGTGGATGAGCCTCAGGATGTATTTACGCTCTGTGCTTTGTTTATTCTATTTTGCTTTTAGGAGGGTTTGCTGTTTTATGTAACTTATTTGTTTTATAGATTCAGGTGGGTAGCTGTGTTGGTCTGAAACAGCAAAAGTTTGAGTCCACTGGCACCTTTAAGACCAACAAAGTTTGCTTCAAGGTATGAGCTTTCGTGTGCATGCACACTTCTTCACACTTGAACATGAAAGCGTATACCTTGAATTAAACTCTGTTGTCTTAAAGGTGCCACTGGACTCAAACTTTGTTATTCATCTTATGTTATTGTTTTATTTTTGTTCTGTAAACCATCCTCAGTGCTTTTTAAGTAGATGGTTGAGATATCTGTCAATTAATCAATCAGTCAACAGAAGTCTTGCAGCAGGGGCCTTCACATCCCTCATACATGTAAGCTACAGTCCACAGATAGCAGAAGAGAAGATTAAGGATGCAAATATACCTGGGAGTAGGCATAGGGGAGGTGACTTCAAGGTGAACAAGCATAGGAGTGAACTGCACATCTTGTGACTCGGTCATTGTCAGAAATGACTGGATGCCTACTTCAAAACTAAGAGCTAGGGTTGTCAGATGTAAGTCTGGCAATCCCAGGAGGTTTGGGGACAGGGTATGGGGAGTGGGAGCATCACTCAACATGGTAAATAACACAGAGATCTGGAGAAGTTCTTAGCACATTGATCAACTGGTGACATCAAGGGCTGCCAACCCCCCAATGGGGGCGGGGGTTTCCCCGGTTTCAGGGCCCTCAATCCGCCGCCAGCCAGCTGATCAAGTCTTGGGAGGAAGCTGGGGTCACAACTTTAAAGGCCCCGACATAGGTTCAAATCTTCTAGAAAGAGGTCAGGTGAACAAGAGTGGGCAGGGGTTTGGGAAAACCTTTGGGGCTACTCATAGAAACAGGAAAAAAATCATATAAAACCTGAAATGCAAAATATGCAACTGAAACCCACTCTTCCCTTTCCTGTCAATAGAGAATGCAGAGTGAAACCTATCTCTATGCTGAAATGGTTTGTAGTGGAAAATAGAGTGATTACCAGTTCAACTCTGTTTCTTAAAAAAAAAACTATGATGGCTCCTTTAGGATTGTTCCTTCTTGGTGCCATTCAACCACTTAGAGTTCCTAAGACTACATTATTGGTTCCCAGCAACCAGTCAGTGGGTCTTCTGGCAAGGGCTTGGAGGTGATCAGGGAGGCTGATTCTCATTCCCTCTCCTTAGATGGAGAGTATCTTCCCACATTCCTAGAATTAGAGGGTTCCAATTTCAAGTCTGCCAGACAGACACAAGAAGGACCCACTCTGTCCTTACAAACTTACAGACAGACCCCCTGAAGTGTCCTTGCAGAATTCCAGGGATCCTCAGACTCCAGTTTGAGAAACAAACTAAGTGCAATTCCTATCCAGGCATAAATTCACCAAATCTGATGGAAAACAAAGGATTCTTTGTATTTCCACAGTCACTCCAGCTATGAACCCAAAGGGCTCCTGGGGGGGGGGGAGCGCGCCGGAGCCCCGCTCCAGGAGTGACCAGGCCAGGGGGCGGGGCGTCACATGACCAAGCCCCGCCCCCTGCTCCCAGCAGCCCCGGCCACCCCTCTTCTCACTTCCTGGGGCCCCGGTGCTCCGGTGCCCCAGGAGGCCCGCCCACCTCTCCCTGCGGTTCCCGGGGCTGTGGCACCCAGCGGCGCTTGGGAGGCCTGCCCACCCCTCCCCGCGCTTCCCGGGGCCGCGGCGCCCCTCCCCGGGAGCAGGCAGCAAGGGCCATGCC